TACACCCTGACCTGGGGGTCAAACCTGAAACCTAGGTATGTGCCTTCACTGGGAATCAAACCCACAACTTTTTGGTGCACAGGATGATGTTCCAACCAACTAAGCCACCCAGCCAGAGCTGGAGATAGTTTTGATTGTCACAACTTTTTTTGAGCCCCAAAAAACATTCTTTTCCAACCTACTTCCCTAGAGGATTGCAAATTGGCCTTCCACCACCAGCAGGAGTGAGTGCTAATACCTGGGAAGTCCCGGGCAGTCCAGGAGTTTTGTCTCTTTAGGTTGACTGCCGGAAGCCAGTCCATCCTTGCTGCTTGACACAGGATTGCAAATTGGCCTTCCACCACCAGCAGGAGTGAGAGAGGCTGGAGCCCCCGAGGAGACCCAGAAGGCAGTCGTGGCAAGTCCTTCCCAGAAAGGCCAGTCCTGCTTCGTTCGTTGTCTGCGGTGGCAAACGGGAGTTGAGAAAGATGGATAGTTGTGGATGAGTCTGCTAATGTGAACATTATTTACTGAGCACCTACTATTTACTGTTGATGTGACAGTTATTTACTGAGCACCCCTTTTTGGGAGAGGGGTCCTGCTACTGGAATCCAGTGGGTTGAAGCCAGGATGCTGGTCCACATGCTACAGTGCACAGGACAGCCCTCGCTGCACAGGATGATCCATCCCCAAATGTCAGTCATGCTGAGATTGGAAAAGTCTGGGCGAGAGGGAAGGAAAGAAAGCCTAGTGTGAGTGTCAAGGTTAAAACCTTCCAATCCTTCTGGGAACATCCGATAATGGTAACCAAGGGAATGTGACCCTGCACTGGAGTGGGGTCACGTCCAAGGGGCATACTGGGGACCCAGGACATGGGAAAAGGAACAGAGATTTCAAGGGAGGCAAGTTCCAAGTCAGGAGACTGATGAAGGGGGGCTACGATAAGGCCCTGGAGTGGTCGGCAAGCTGCGGCTCGCGAGCCACATGCGGCTCTTTGGCCCCTTGAGTGCGGCTCTTCCTAAGCCTTAGGAGTACCCTAATTAAGTTAATAACAATGTGCCTACCTATATAGTTTAAGTTTAAAAAATTTGGCTCTCAAAAGAAACTTCAATCGTTGTACTGTTGGTATTTGGCTCTGTTGACGAATGAGTTTGCCGACCACTGTCCTAGAAGACACTGGAGCCCAGAGCTGAGGCCTAGGAGAGGTCAGCAGAGTGTGACTAAACCAGAGGGTCTGGGTGGATTGTGGGAAGGTGGCTGGATGGCCAAGCTGGGGCGGGAGGTCCCTGGAGGAGAGGGATAGCAGTATTTGCTCCCTGACCCTGGGCTTCGAGGCTAATGAGAAAGTTCTCACTCTGAGCCTGTTTCCTCATCCATAAAATAGTGACAGTCAACTCCGCATCACAACGTTCATCAGGTTGGTGCAGCAAAGGACTAACTCACCCTTGTCCATACCCTGCACAGGAACGTTTTGGCCTTTGCCCAGCTCCTGCGAGGTGTCCCTTGAAAGCCCTGGAAATAACCAGACTGATAAGGGTCTTTGTTAACTTGGGGGCTTTGGGATATGCCAGGTAATCGACGCTAACACTCTGACGTATACCGGGGGCGCTGGGCCAGGCGGTGTGAACTGGACTCTGGAGGGGCTGAAGACCGAGGTCCGCCATGTCTGTATGACCAACACCCAGTAAACACCCGGGACACCCAGGCTTGGGTGAGCTCCCCCGTTTGCAGTTCACCGTGCATGCTGTCACACTCGTCGCTATGAGAATTAAACCCTGTCCGCACGACTCCAGTGGGAGCGGACAATTAGAAGCTCACGCTCCGTCCTCCCCGGAGGCCGCCCACACGCCTCTTCCCTCGGCTCATTTCACTCTGTACCCTTGAGCGTGTGCCCGGCTTCCTCCAAGAGGCCCTCATCACCGCCCAGAGCCAAGCAGGAGCTGCCTGCTCATCTTTTCATGAAACCAGTGTTGGCGTAATCTTACACGTAAGGTCTCCTTTCAGCTCACTTTGTTTTAGCAATGAGACATTTACAAAAGAAAGGGGACAAAAAAAAAAAAAAAACAAAACAAAAAAAAAACAAATAATAATAAAAAAACATACATTCACAAAAAGAAGGGGGACATCACAGAGACAGGTGAAGCTGTCTTATTTAGAAGAGGCATTTTGGAGCTCTGAAAGACGACCAAGAACGCATTCTTTCTGTTATTTACTAACATTTAAATGAAAACAAGATATTCTAAATGGCCAACATTAGGTTGTGTACAAACTTGTGCAGATGGTCCCTGACTTGCGATGGTTTGACTTTGAAATTGTTGGCTTTGCCATGGTGGGAAAGTGATATGCATTCAGTAGACATCCTGCTTTGAATTCTGAATGTTGACCTTTTCCTGGGAAAACGAAATGTGGGGCAAAACTCTCTGATGGTGCTGGGCAGTGGCCGGGAGCCCAGCTCCCAGTCAGCCATGTGGTCATGAGGGTGGACAACAGATACTCTACAGTGTGGCGTTAAGTGCACTTTTGACTTAAAATATTTTCCACTTATAATGGGTTTATTGGGATTTAACCCCACCATTGAGTCAAGGAGCATCTGTATAATAAAAAGTAAGTTTCCCTTCTGACCCAGGCCTTGAAACTCTCTCTTAATCTGTATCCTTTCACTGCAACAAACCATAATTATGAGTAAAACAGCTTTTTCTGAATCCTGTGAGTCCTTTTAGTGAATCCCTGAAACCCAGGGTGGACTCGGGGGCCCCAGAACAGCAGGGTCTTTCCTGAATGGACCAGGCAGGGAAGAGAAGTTGAGGCAGAGAAGGAAGAGGTATGAAAAAGCTCAAACTACTCGGTTGAACTGATGCTCCTATTTCTTGAGTGCCCGCAGGTAAAGTGGGGGCTTGACATACCGTCTCCCAAGTGCCCGTGCACATTCAGTTGGCATTCATCGTGATTTCCAGGCACATCGTGCTTCCTCCTGTGCTGACCCGAGGGAGCGCCTCACTGCCCTCACCCTCGCCCGCCCCCGAGTGGTCCTCACTCCCGTTCCACAGACCATGCGGCTGATGTCCTGGGAGAGGGGCCACTTGCTTGAATCCTCCAGGAAGGCGGTGGAGGAGACAGCATTCCCGCTGGGCCCATGGACGTCGAGGTATAGCTCCCTTCTGTCTGCGGTTTATTAATGTTGACAGGCGGGTGGGCAGGACTTAGAGCACCAGGGCATTTTCAATAAGGTCTGATCGCGAGAAGGTCTCTCCCTGGCCATACAGCCTGTGCTTTTTATTATTTTTTTCCTCGCTTCATTGTGATGTAATCAACATGTGATATTGTTTAAGTTTGCAGTGTACGGCGTGTGGACTTGATGCACTTATATGTCACAAAATGGTTATCATCGTAGGTTATCTAAAGCCTTTATCACATAGTTACCATTTCTTTTTTTTGTGTGTGGTGAGATTTAAGATCTACTCTCTTAGCAAGTTTCAAGTATATCATACAGTGTTGTTAACTATGATCGCCATCCTGTACGTCAGATCTCCAGAACTTATTCATCTTTTTTTTTGTGGTTTTTTATTTATTTATTTTTTTTATAGAACTTATTCATCTCATAATTGGAAATTTGTAACCTTTGACCAACATCTGTCCATTTCCTTCACCTCCCCTACTCTCTGTGTCTCTGAGTTTGGCCCTTTTAGAGTTTACATGTAAGCGAGATCACAGAGTTATTTGTCTGTCTCTGTCTGACTTATTTCACTTAGCACAATGCCCTCAAGGTCTATCCATGTTGTTGGGAGTGGAATTTTTTGCTTATTTCTAAGAGCTCATCAGTTTGATGTGGGCAGGGTCCTAACTGCCCCTGGAGACTTGCTAATTTCCTTTCTTCTTTTTTACTAAATATATTTTTTATTTATTTCAGAGAGGAAGGTAGAGGGAGAGAGAGAGAGAAACATCAATGATGAGAGAGAATCATTGTTAGGCTGCCTCCTGCACACTCCCTACTAGGGATCAAGCCCGCAACCCGGGCATGTGCCCTTGACTAGAATTGAACCCTGGACCCTTCAGTTCACAGGCTGATGCTCTATCCACTGAGACAAACCAGCTAGGGCTAATCTTCCTTCTTATCAAAGACAGCTGGCTTCAGCCCCAGGCCTCCTGCAGGCAAGGAGATCTGATGAGTTTATTTAAAGCTGCTTTCTCCATTCCTCCCCCCAGCCCTCCCACCTCGCACTGCTCACATTAGGGGACAGAGGATTTTCTGTGGTGGTGCTGTCTGTGCCCTGTGCCCTGCAGGAGGCACAGCAACACCCCTGGGCTCCGCCCACTAGATGCCAATAGCTCCCCTCCCCAGTCATGACAACCAAAGTGTCTGCAGACATTGCCAGTGTCCCCTGGGGAGAAGAATGGTCCCCGGTTGAGAACTGCTGGTTTAAATAGTACACGAGGTGCTTGGACGTTTGTTGGAGGTAATGGTGAGCGCAGGACCGGGTAGGTGGGGAGTTCCTCTGAGTGTTCATCCTTTGGGCTTGCCCTGCCAGGGCTGACACAGCTCCCAGCATCCTACAGCCTCCCTCTGCACATCTGGGCCCAAGCTCAACTTTCATGGAGCCCCGGGGGACCCAGGTGTTTGAGAGGCTGGCTGGTCCCTGGGCCCCAGTGCCAAGAAACCACAGTTGCTGTGGTGACTGCTGAGCTCTTAGGGCGAGAAGCCGGTTGGTTGAGGGGCAAAAGGCTCTGGTGCCTGGAGGAGCCAACATCCAGGGACCTTGGCTGAGAGATCACAATCCAATGTCTAGCCATTAGCGTTAGCAGACCAAGCAGAGCAGCGGGGAGCAGTTGGTTCAGTTCCCCAGGGACACTGCAGGGGACAGGGCTGCAGGTCACTAAGGGGGCCTTGGAGGGTGAGAGAGACAAACCCCACTCCCGATGGCCCTGCCTGGCTGGCCTCCCAGGAAGGCCACTCGGCCACTGGTGTGAGGTGTCTGAGATCCTGTCCCCGCCCCGGGGAAAGATCATCCAGGTGGGTGGACAGCATGAACGCGGGCCCCCTCAGCCCAGGCACCCGCCGGCGGCTTCTCCAGGGTCAGGCAGGCCTCCTCCCAGAGCCTCCATCCAACAGTGTGGCCATCTTCATCAGCTCCACGGTCTCAGGTAAGGGGCAGGGCAGGGCTTGGGTTTTAGAAGCCAGGGGCACTCCTGGGGGTGCCAGGCAATGGGCATGGCTCACAGTGTCCCCTAAGAGACCTGGGACGTGAATCAGCCCGGCCAGTGACCCATGTGGGAACAGGGAAAGGGGAGCATCCCAGACCCTCTGTTTCTGCTTTGATTATCCAGGCTGAGAGCCTGACTTGATAGAGTTGCTATGAGTGGCAACGATATGGCAACTAACATTTGTGGTGAATGCACGATGCACTAGGCTGAGTGCCATGGTCTTCCCGTGGCCCTGCGTGACGGCACTGCTCACCTCCCCAACTGTATCTCATAGGATCCTCTCCTCACCCGTGCGTTGTAGTCACACTGGGTTCCAGCAGATCCTGGAACCCATGAAGCCCTAGGCCCCAAAAGCTATAGTTATTTAATTTATGTGTTTGTTTAATGCCTGGCTTCCCCCACTAGGCTATGAGTTCCACCAGGGCAAAAACTGCATAGAGAGGTGTTCTGACAAGGGTTTAATAACCTGTTCTTCAAAAATTTTAAAGTAAAACAACAACAATCACATAAAACATCAGATTTGAACTGTCTGCCAATTTCTGTGGTGTAAGTCCTCCACCATGGTCAGTTTCAAAGCTGCCAGTGTGACTGCAGAACCACGGAGTGGGGAAGAACTGGGCAGTGGTCCCCATCCTCTATTTTCCTGCTACAAAGGCAATAGCCGTAAACAAACTCACGAGCAGAGCTCAAAGCCAAATGTGGTCGGATGATTCGGAAGTGATGACTTTTGAGTCCTTGTGATCTCTTATAGCCTTTGCTATAATGTATTCCATTGCACGGTCAGGTCATTTAATTTTTCATAATGGCTGTGCCAACGACTGGCTCACAGCCTAACTCCTGAGGATTTAGCCATCCGCTCTCCCAAGCCAGTAGGGGCCAGCTGTGGCACTCCTGAGGTAGCCATCCGCTCTCCCAAGCCAGTAGGGGCCAGCTGTGGCACACGGCATCATTTATATACGTCTCATTTGCTGTTGTGCTGCCGACCTAAGCCGTGTCTAGGTCTAAAGAAACTTCCCAGTTGATGTTTTATGGACAAATGTAAATAACCTGTGGGATTTATGAAACAGGCATGGGAAGGGGAGGGGGTGCGACAAGATTGGAATTGAGGTCAGCTCCTGTGGCAGGATCTGGGCAGTTTCTTTGTACCAGTGGCTTTGAGAGGCCTTTTATTTTATTTATTTATTTATTTATTTATTTATTTATTTAAGGTTAGGGTTCGGGTTAGGGTTAGGGTTAGGGCTAGGATTAGGGTTAGGGTTAGTTTTAGGGTTAGAGTTAGGGTTAGGGTTAGGGCTAGGGTTCGGGTTAGGGTTAGGGTTCGCCTTTTATTTTATTTTTTGTCTTTTTGTCTGATTGCTGTGGCCAGGACTTTCAAAACTGTTTTGAGTAGAAGTGGTGATAGTGGGCAACCTTGTCTTGTTTCTGATATTAGAGGAAAAGCTTTTAGCTATTCACCATTGAATATATTAGGTGTGGCTTTGCCATATAGAATGTTTATTATGTTGAGATATGTTTCTTTTATACTTTGTTGAGAGGTTTTATAATAAAAGGAGCTTGAATTTTGTCAAATGCTTTTTCTGCATCTTTTGAGGTGATCATATCGTTTTTATCCTTTATTTTGTTAATGTGATGTATCCTCTTGATTGATTTACAGATGTTGAGCCATCCTTACATCCTTGGGATAAATCCCACTTGGTCATGGTGTATAGTCCTTTTAATGTATTGTTGAATCTATTTTGATAATATTTTGTTGTAAATTTTTGTATGTATGTTCATCAAGGATATTGGCCTGCACTTTTCTTTGATATAAAATTTTTAAGATTTTCTCTCTATTTGGAATAGAGGATCTCATTCTTTCTTCAGTTTTCACAGTGAAACTGAGTACATTATAGAATGAGAGAATTATTGTAATGTTTAATTATATATTGTATTATTATGCCAGATGAAGCAAAACTGATCTAAAGTGAATAATTATGCTAGTATTAGAGTCATAAGTTTTGTGAGTACAGTCTCATTCCAGAACTATGTTTAAGTTGTTTTAGATCTTTATAATATTTATACACATTTTCTTTTTTAATAAAACTTGGCGATTTTGTGTGGTAGAGAGACATGTATCCCTAAACTTTGAGTATTGTCAAACTTCTACCACCATCTATCAAATATCTTTATTATTTATGTAGTGGAAGGAAAACATTTCTGTTTTTCTCTACTGCACTGCTCATAGAACACTTCTGGCCACAAAATTTATTTTGTTTGTTTCACACAACAGGCAGTTCTTCAACACCCACTCAGTCCCACAGGGCTGGCCCCCACATCAGCCAGCAATTGCAAATCTAGGTCGTCACCTGTGTTTTTGAACAACTGGCTATAATTGGAGGTTCACATAACCTCCTTTTTGGGTATGATAATTTGCTAGAACAGCTCGCCAAACTCAGAAATGTTCTCTACTCACTATTTTTGATTTATTAAAAGGCGCGCGCATGTGTGCTTATTGATTTCAGAAAGAGGGAGAGAGAGAAACATCAATGATGAGAGAGAATCATTGATCGGCTGCCTCCTGCACACCCCCTACTGGGGGTTGAGCTGGCAAACTGAGCATGTGCTCTGATTGGGAATTTAAATCTGTGACCTCCTTGTTCATGGGTTGACACTCTACCACTGAGCCACACTGGCTGGGCAAAAAACAAACAAAAAAGCATATTTTAAAGGATGTAAATGACCAGCCAGATGAAGAAATAAATAGCAAACTCTACCAAATCATTCAGCTGGGGTTTTCTATGGAGGCTTTATTACATAGGCATGATTGACTAAACCATTGGCTATTAGTGATTAACTCAATCTCTTGCCCCTCTTCTCTCCTCATAGGTGGGGAAGAGGGGGATGCAGATAGCATCTTATCACAAGTTTGGTTCTCCTATTGACCCCCATTCTGAAGGATTTTCTAAAAGTCACCTTATTAACAAACTCAGGTGTGGATGAAAGGGAATTATTATGAATAACAAAAAACTCCTTGCTCCTTTCACTTTTATCACTCTCATCACTTAAAAATTCCAAGGGTTTTAGGAGCTCTGTGTGGGGAAAAAGACCAAATAGAAATTACTCAACTGCAGAAAATTAAATCTAATGTAATTGTATTTGGTAGTCTGATAATAGTTTGTTTTAGGTTAAGAATTTAAAGATTTCTTGGGTTGCTCCTTATCCTCTATGTTCAATGATATACTAGTGGGGGGTTGAATTTGCATACTATTACAAATAGCCAAACAGTATTTGTAGTTCTAGGTTAGTTAACAATGTAATTAATCACTGTCATTCAATATGTAACCCACATAATTATAGCAGATTAGAGATATTATTTATTGATTTCAGAGAGGAAGGGAGAGGGAGAAAGAGATGGAAACATCAATGATGAGAGAGAATCATCAATCGGCTGCCTCCTGCACGCCCCCTACTGGGGACCGAGCCCACCATCCAGGCACGTGCCCTTGACCGGACTCGAACTCGGGACCCTTCAGTCCACAGGCCGATGCTCTACCCACTGAGCCAAGCCAGCCAGGGCTCATTGATACATTAGTAAGAAAGAAGCAGTGCCGGAAATTCGACTGCCTGCCGTTGAGCACGAGACACAGCTCCATGGCAGAGGCCCTGGAAAGGAAAACCTACACGCTGAGAACTGATGAAACGCCGATGTGCGTCCCTTAATACCTACACGGGTGCTAGCTATGCAGCACGCACCGCGGACATCCTCAGTCAGAGACGGGGGACAGTGGCCCAGAGGGGGAAGGTTCTCCCCGGGGGGAAGGTTCTCCGCTTTTTCTTTCTCCCTTCCTCCCTCCAGTCACAGTCAGTACTGCGGTCCCTTCACCCGGTGGCTGTAGTTCATTAGGAATATTTATTCCCTCGGGGCAAAATAATTTAAGGGGGCAGGGACTATTCTGCGTCCCATCCTCCCCGCTTCCTCATCCCAGCCTTTCACGGGGTCAGCCTCGCTCCTTGAATGGAGCCCTTCCTTCTGCCGGAGGCCCTCCTCTGGCTAGCAGGCAAAAACGGCCCGCAAGCGTGCGGTTGCCAAGGCGACTTGGCCGCATCTGATTTTGGCCAAACGAAACACCCTCCTTCGCAGAGAAGGCTCTGCGAACAAGTGTGGACACGTCCTTGCTTTAAAAGAAACAGTTTGAAAATGCTCAGGGTCTTACATTTTTTTTTAATGTTTTCAAGTAAACTTCTATTTGGGAATTGAGGTTTACAGGAAGCTTGTATATGATTCAGAGTTCCCATATTTCTTGCACCCAGTTTTTCCCTGAATGTGAACATGTCACATTATCAGGTGCATTTGTACAACGAAGAAGCGGACGCTGGCTCATTGTTATTAACCAGCCTCCGGATGTTACCCGGATGTCACCCATCCTCTCTGGTCTCAAGCCCCAGATCCCACCCAGGGAACCCCGGGTGCATTTAGTGGTCAGGTCTCCCCAGTCTCCCCCAGTTTGGGATGACTCCTTGGCCTTCCCGTGTTGCTCATGACCTTGGCAGTCTCGGGGAGGATGCCCCCAACCTGGATCTGCCTGATATTTTCTCACGGTTACTCTGGGAATTCAGTCAAGTTCTTTTCATCCAGACACCCACCCTTTGGGGAGAAACTGTCAAAAATTATTGAAAGAAACTTTATGCCTTTGCCAAAGGCAACTGAAAAGTCACCCACCCTGACACGTCCCTGACGCACCCACTCTCGTCATCTCCAGGTCGTCGATCTGAGGTGGGGGATTCAGCACGCACAGGCCACTGACCACATGACCACGGAACTCTGCTTGGAGGAGCTGGATCGGTGTCGGAAAACATCCCTAGGGCCGGCTTTTGTTGTGAGTCTCTTGGGAGAGATGGGGTCACTCTTACGTCTTTTCTAGCACCAGGATATGGCCTCTGATTCCCAGCCAAATCCAGGCATCATTTCTGCTCTCATACCCTCTCTCCATAGCCTGTCTGTGGCAGACATTGCTAATCGTTCGCAGCACTTTTTCTGCAGAGCTAGCTGAGATCCAGACATTAACAGTCAAGTGGAAGCAGCACATAAGTTAGAGAGCAGAGTGTTGAAGTCCAAAGGGATCTTGGGATTGGCTCTGGATTTTCCTTGAGCTTTCCCACCCCATCTACTTTATTTATTTATATTTTAAGTCTTTATTGTTGAAAGTATTACACATGTCCCCTTTTCTTCCCCCACTGACCTCTTCTAACCCGTCTCCACCCCCCCACCCAGGGCCTTCACCACACTATTGTCTGTGACCATGGGTGATGCATACATGCATACAAGTTCTTTGGTTGATCTCTTCCCACCCACCCACATGCCCTGCCTTCCCTCTGAGATTCCACAGTCTGTCCCATGCTTCTGTGTCTCTGGATCTGTTTTGTTCATCCGTTTATTTTGTTCATTAGATTCCACATATGAGTGAGATCCTATGATACTTATCTTTCTCTGCCTGGCTTATTTCACTTCCCATAATACTCTCCAGGTCCATCCGTGCTGTTGCAAATGGTAAGAGTTCTTTCTTTCTTAACAGCTGAGTAGTATTCCATTGTGTAGACGTACCACAGCTTTTTTTTATCCACTAACCCGCTGATGATCGCGGAGGCTGGTTCCAAGTCTTAGCTATTGTACATTGTGCTGCTATGAACACAGGGGTGCATACATTCTTTCTGATTGGTGTTTCTGATGGCCAAGGATAGATTCCTAGAAGTGGGATCACTGGGTCAAAAGGGAATTTTGTTTTTAATTTTTGAGGAAACTCCTGTTTTACACAGTGGCTACACCAGTCTGCATTCCCACTAACAGTGTACAATACTTCTTATAATCATCCTTTAATTGAAAAAAGTGCCCCAAACTGCCCTGTCTGGGTGGGTCAGTGGGTTGGAAAATCGTCCCATGCACCAAAAGGTTGTGGGTTTACTCCCTGGTTGGAGCACATTTGGGAGACGCTCTCTCTCTCTCTCCCCCCTTCCTCTCTCTCTCTCTCTCTCTCTCTCTCCCCCCTTCCTCTCTCTCTAAAATTAATAAACATATCCTAGGGTGAGGATTTTAAAAAAGAAAACTAAAAACTAAAATAATTATTGAAAAGTATCCCAACTCTGAAAATGCCTTACCAGTTTAATAAAATAAATAAGTTTAAAAATATCTTATAAATATAGAGAATAAAAGAGACAAAAAAAAACCCACAAAAAAACAAAATATTTTTTCTAAACAAATGCCTTAACATTTATAAACTCCAACTAAAAACCCCAAAGAACCTGTGAGGTTCTCCAGTGAGGATTAAAGAAGAAGAATAGTAAAGGGGGAAAAGCCAAGAAAGTATCTTTGCCCAATACACCTTAATCACAAAGAAGCTTCGAGCAGCTACCAATAACAATAAAAATACTCTGAACCTCTCCTGGAGAGAAGATTGTAGAATGTAGGAGAGGATGGCCCCATTTTAAAAGCTCTTTTCCAGGGAAATAAAGAGAACTAGGTGAGGTGTGTTTAGCCTTAGAATTGCCTGCCCCATGCGGTAGACATGAACCACATGTGGTGATTTAAACTTAAATTATTTAAAATCAGGCAGAAGTAAAATTTCACTTCCTCAGCCCTCCTACCCACACTGGGATGGCAAGGAGCCACTGTAATTGGAGAGCACAGATGAGAACACTTCCTGTGGTGCAGAAAGTGCTGCCTGAGAGAGCAGGCCTGCCTACAAGAAACAAGGTGTGTGAGAAGCTTTCTTTGTTATATATTGTTTTGTCTATACAACTAGAGACCCAGTGCATAAAATTCGTGCACTGGTGGGGTCCCTTGCGGTTGCCGGCTGCGGGCCGGGGCCTCCCTGCCTTCCCCCGGCGGGCCCTGCCCCCTGGTCAACTCCCGGACGAACTCCCGGTCGAGGGGACAATTGCATACTACACTTATATTATATAGGATGGCACTTGGGTTCACTCTTTTGCTCTATACTTTTTTTTTTAAATATATTTTATTGATTTTTTTACAGAGAGGAAGGGAGAGAGATAGAGAGTTAGAAACATCAATGAGAGAGAAACATCGATCAGCTGCCTCCTGCACATCTCCTACTGGGGATGTGCCCGCAACCAAGGTATATGCCCTTGACCGGAATCGAACCCGGGACCTTTCAATCCGCAGGCCGACGCTCTATCCACTGAGCCAAACCGGTTTCGGCATGCTCTATACTTTTGTGGGTGTGTTGGCACCACCTTTTTGTCTCCTTTTCTCGCCCCCCCCCAGCTTTATTGAGATACTAGTGGCCCAGTGCACAAGATTTGTGCACATTAAAAGGGAATTAATTAGAGGAAATATTTTAATATTGCTATTTGCCCTTTCTCTATAATAGAAGTGTCAGAGGTGAAAGAAAATTAGTAAAACGTATACAAAAATCTCCCTCTTGTCAGAGTCTGGGGCACGCCACGGGACTCAGCGTTAAGTCTCCACCCACCCGCGGTGCCTCAAATTCGCGGGAGACCCAGACCCAGCTGGCCCCACCCCTGTCAAGCCCTGCCGGGCAGGGGGCATGGCCTCAGGGCCCCCAGCCTGGCCTCAGGTACCCCGGCCCCCACGCAAGGGTGCAAGGGTGTGAGGTCGTGACGACCATTTGCATATTAGCTCTTTATTATATAGGATTATATAGGGTAACTGATATACAGCATTGTATATGTTTAAGGTATACAGCATAATGACTTGACTTACATATACAGCGAAGTGATTACTACAGTAAGTTTCGTTAACATCCATCATTTCATATAGATACCAATAAAGAAAGCAAAAGAGAAGGATTTTTTCCCCTTGTAATGAGAACTCTCAGGATCAGCTTTCAGATGTCCCATGTGGCAGTGTTCACTCCAGTCGTCACATTGTACCTTACATCCCAAGGACTTACGTATCTTGTGACTGGATGTTGTTACCTTTTGAACCACTCTGTTTTCATTATTGTTGCTTCAAAATACAACCTAACATCTGGAGAGCTCTATAGTCTTGCTTGCATATCTCCTTCACGAATAATGTTTTCCCAGTCTTCTCATTTGAGCCTTCCAAATGAGCCTAATGATTGATGATTTTGTTAAGTTTCAAAGAAAAAAGAAAAATAAATTATTAAAGGGAAAAGGGAGGTGGGGAGAAAAAGAACCCCAGGGGGGATTCGATTTTGCAACCCGAACGGAAGGCAGTGAAAAGCACAACACAGTTTCCAGGTGACACGGGGAACCGGAGGCTGATCTCTGAGCTTCTCCCAGGCCCCACCGGCCCAGGGACCTCGCGAATCCTTCCAGAAGGGCTCTGTGGGCCGACCGGATGGAGGACCTCTCCCCACGTCCTGCTTTTCTGCTGCACCAGACACCTCCCCTCTGTCGCCCCAGAGTCACAGCTTCGTTCTCCTGTGGTGGCTCTGGTTTGGGGGGCTCTCCATGGAAAGCTGAGCTGTGCTGGGGGCCCTTGGAGAGGCTTCTCTCTGGTAAATAACTCATTAGGCGGCGTGGCAGGGGACCTCGCCCCGGGCGCTTCTCCTCAAGGCCCTGCGTCTCTCGGGGCCCCAGAAGCTCCAGCGTCTCCAGACAGTTGCTCCTGATAGCTCCTTGATCTCATTCTTTGCAGCTCTTCCCACTCCCCGTTGCTTCCGTCCCACAGACCTGAGCAGTATTTAATTTAAAAAAATATGTTAACCATCTGTCTTCTTCCTAAGATCTCTGGTCTGTGGTTTGCTGGTGACACCTTTCTCAACTTCCCTTGTCCCTCCAAGGCTGTAGCTATTGGGAAGGCCCTGGGAGAACTGCGTCCTCTTCAACATCCTGTCATCTCAGATTCCATATCCAGGTTTCCGGGGTGCACACCCCTGGGATATTCTGGAACAACCCAATGAAGGGGGAAGGGTGCTTGCTTCTATTTCATGAGGAAACTCAAGACTCTGGGCCCTATGTTCTAGACCTAATTCTCTTGCATTCCAGTATGCACTTTCTCAGACTCTGTTGGGGCAGAGAGAGGGTTTCCTAGTGTTCTCAGCACCAGAACCAAAATAGTTGGCCCTCACCACACCCTACAAAATCTTGCCCTTAGCATGGCCTTTTCTCCCTCCACTGCTCCCTTCTTATTGGTGCTTTCCTGCACTGGAACATGCTGTTTCCTCTGCTTGTACATGCCTGCACTTCCTGCCACAGGGCCTTTGCACATGCTGTTTTCGCTGTTTGCCAGGCTCTCTGTCCAGTGCATCCTTCTCAGATCTTATTCTGCAGCTCAAGCCTCATTTCCTCGGGGGAATTTTCCTGACTCTACAGCCCACATGTTTATCCTTTATTCCTAGCATCAGCTGCACTTTGACATTGGTGACTGACTCACCTGTTAGGACTCCCAGGTCCAGGAAGGCAAGGACCTAGACCGTTCTGGTCACTGGTGTCTCTTGAGCAGCTGTCATGGGCTTGGCTTAATAAATATTTGGGGAATGCTTGTGTTCAGAACGCAGAGGTTCCATGTTGGGACCTGATTACCTGCCCCCCTAACCCCCCAACCCCATGACCTCAGACCTGTTCCAATTTGGCACCTTCTCTGGGGCCTCAGTTTCCACATCTAACAAGGAGGAAGCAGGACTTCGGGCTTTCCAGGGAGCATTAGAGCTGGGAGGAGTGAGGCACTCACCTTCAGCACAAAATTTAAAGAGATGCCAAAAATCGTAGTTATCAAGACAAATATTTTAGTGCAATCTTTTTTTTATTTTTATTTTTTAACAAAATCACCTTTTTGTATAAAGATGCTGCTTTTTATTCTAAGAAAGACATTTTTGTGGCAAAAAAATAATAAATTTTCAAACTAAAAAATACTTAAAGAAAATGCCAGATCTTAGAAAGGTGATTTTAAAAAAATATATATATTTTATTGATTTTTTTACAGAGAGGAAGGGAGAGGAATAGAGAGCCAGAAACATCGATGAGAGAGAAACATAGATCAGCTGCC